GGCATGCTGGATGCAATCAGGAAATGCACCTATCATGTTTAAGTAACTCATACAATCTCACCTCAAAACATCCAAATGATAAGGTTAGATGACGGCATCTGAGCAGGGCAATGACACTCTGTAGAGAAAGAATATGCCGTTTGTCTATAATACATCTTTTAGTGTCCCAGATAGCGGTATTGAAATCCTTGAACACTTTTCCAGTCCACAGAGATTTCATTCACATGCATCAGCAGTACTAGGAGCCCACAGTACAGCCACAGAGCTGCTGCAGTCGCTCGTCTTCATGGCGTTACCACTCCAGCTCCACTGGGTACTTCCCGGTCAGACAGGCGGTGCAGTGGCCCACTCTCTTGCCGGACGTGTTGCTGGTGCTGATCATCTCGTCCTTCTCCTTCAGGGAGGCGATTCCCTCCTGAACGGCGGACACCAGGCCCTCCACAGTGAGATACTTAACACTGGCAGCACCTACACAAACAGTTCAAGTATTTATGAGATGAACTAAAGACACAATGAGGCAGTAAAGATGAAGTGGGAAGATGGCACAAAAACTTAAAAATGTGATGTCCTGCATTCAAAACACCACTTAAAGGGGGGGTATGTAACTTTGGAGAAACCAGCTCGAGTGCGCTAGAATTTGAAAATACACAACCGGAAAAAATCTGCCACTTCCTTCAGACTTCCTTACAGAGCCCCTCCTCCAACACACACCAACGACCAATGAGGGCACGAGATAAGTTTGTGCACAGATGGAAGGCTGACAGGCAGGTAGGCCATCCAGTTATTTTAGCCGGGCCGGCTCAGATGATTGGTCGTGCTTTTTACAGCGCCATGGCTTCCACAGATGACATTTTTTTATGGATTTTTTGTCAAAGCATTTAATATATTCATTGCTATCGGGATGTTAAGAGCATTCCATGGAATATAACAAAAAGTGTTTCTGAAATAAATGACATACCCCACCTTTAAGAATTATGAAGTATTATCAGATAAATGAACTTATTGAATGTTCCCTGTCAGTGCTTGAATAATTATACATGATGCTTTTGGAATAGCATTTCTGCAGCACGCTCCTTTAGTTTTTTCTTTTAGCTTATGTAGGATAGTTTTTCAACACAGAACACTTCAACTATGAGTAGAAGGAAAACTTGTATCTAATATTTCCTTCTGAAATGTAAAGAAGTGTGTGGAAGTATTAAGTTGCCGAAAATGGAACTACTCAAGTACCATGGATCTGTACTTCAGTACAGTACTTTTACAACTAGAATAATTTGGCCCTGATATAAAAACTGTCAAAAACCTCTGTTTTTTTTTTGTTTTTTTTATTAAATTGTACAACTTTGCCAGACAGATGTATGAGTTATATTAGTTCTTACCAATGTATCCGGCAATGTCCTGAAACTCGGGCTTGTTAGCGATGAGCTCCTCCTTGGTGGGAATATTGATGCCCATGTAGCAGGGGTATCTGATCGGTGGAGAGGCAACCCTGATGTGAACCTGTCAATGACACAATGAAAGGTCAGACTTTGGTCCGGGTGAGTTAGTTGGAAGACCCTCTTAACTTCACCTAAAGTGTTAAGCGGCATGTGCATTTCTTGTGTTTTTAAGTTTTTGCTTTTGATCATTGTCCTGCCCACAGATCAACCCCCATTAAAACATTGAGTGTGTCATATCAGCATATAGACAGGAGTGTGTGTGACATCTCAAGTCAACTCGCCTCCGTCGCACCGGCCTCCTTCAGTAGTTTTATAATGGGGGCGATGGTGTTGCCTCTCACGATGGAGTCGTCAATGAGCACCACCCGCTTCCCAGCAAAATTGTCGGTCAAAGCCCCAAACTTCTTGGCAACTCCTAGCTGCCTCAAGCGGGTATTCGGTTGAATAAACGTTCTCCCGACGTAGCGGTTCTTACACAGAACCTCTACGTATGGCAGTCCAGACTGTGAGAGGGGGAAAAGAAGAGATACAAAGTGTTGTAAGGACAGATGTAAATCAGGAGGTGGGTGTAGTACAGCATTTCTTTACAGAGTTTGAGCATACAGCTTGTACACAGACCTGCTGAGCGTAGCCCAGGGCTGCAGGAGTTGCAGACTCTGGCACAGTGCTGACCACGTCTGCGTCTGTTGGAGCCTCGATGGCTAACTGCCGACCACAGCGCTGTCTGACGGTGTACACCATCTGCCCTGCAGCAAAGAGGTAGGAAATACTCACTATGCAACACTTAATACACAAAGTATTCTAATAATTGACAAGAAAGTTAAAACGTTCAGACCAGAGAGGTCTGAAGCAGTTATTCAAAAGATTATATATCACTTTTTACAAAGGCCTCATTGTTCAACATACATCCAAAAACTTAACAAATGGTATTTTATTTAACATACCACATTTAGAATCTGTGTTTTATTTAGCTTATGTATCCCCCACAAGTTAAATCCTTTACACTTTATTTGATCTACATGATACTTACAGTAATTGAATCAGTTGTATTGTTTTATGGGTAATCTGTTTTGAGATGGCGCAGATATTTCTAATACATGTCTTATATATGTTCTTCTCGTGTTGTTCTTTCACATAACTAACAATATAAATGTTTTCAATATATGTCAATCTTTTTCAAAGGGCATACATAAGGAGGTTAGCATATTCTCTATATTTTAAGAATAAAAAACAAAAGAGAAATTGAGCTATAAATAATGGTCCATAAAAAATATTCAAACCTTCAAAAATAGAGTCTGGTCTGGCAAAGTAAACATATTCAAATATGCAGAAGGCGGGGGGGTCTCCCTCAGGGCGCGAGACGACACTCAGAGACTTGACTCCGTGTTTGGATATCTGCACTATCTCTCCTGGTAAGACCTCTCTGTAATACCTGAGAACCAGAAATGAGAGAAATGGTCAAAACCCACAACACTTCTATTATAATGGAGAAGATATGACATGTGAGGCAAGAACTGACTTGGCTCCGATGGACTGGAAGCTGCAGGACTCTGATGACACGACCCAGCCCTCGGTGTCCTCCTCTCCTGCACCGGATCAGAGACAAAGAATGACGTTAATAATCCACAACTTTACACTTCTGAACTCTGACGAAATAATGCTCTGAGCACTGATAAGCTCCTGTGATATCCTGTGTTTATCAGTAGTAGTAGTTAGGGTCTTTTTAGGACAAACATGCAGTGTCTCTGTTGTGACGGTCACAGAATCTGAATACCTGAGTGCAGCTTAGAGACGGGAACAATCCGTCCAATGCAGAGGGGGCGATTTCCGTAAGGGTCACGCACCGCATAGATAACATCTTTGAACATCACCAGCAGTGAGTACGATGTAGGGGTCTCACTCATCAGATTTTTTATTCTAGAAGAAAAAAAAAAATGTAAAATCGAATAGGATATTTGCTTTTGTTGCATTTATCCAGCATGGTGTCCAAACACTGACCTGGCGACCCAGTTTGGTGCGTCCCGCTCCTCCATAGGTGGAGTCAGTGCCAGCAGCTGGGTGATGAGCTCACTGTCTGAGCTGGTGGAGAGGCCCACTCCGTGACGCATTACCTACACAGCAAATTCACAATGATCGATTCAGAGAAAATATATGGATAGAGATTCAGACAATACTGTTAAACAAGTGTTATTTCAAGCCAGCTAATGCCCATTTCCTTGCTTTTATTTGTTCATGTTTTAAATAAAGTTAAGACACACAATAACACTGATAGATTAAATAGTTTTAAGAAACATTATATATAAAAGGCCTTGTTTTTTCCTTCAACAAAGATTTTATTTCGGTGACCTAGGAAGGGCCATTGATAAATAACAGTTTAAGTGAGTTAAGGGGCCATCCTCACCTTTCTCCGCAGGGCGAGAGCATTAACCAGCTCTCCATTGTGTGCTACTGCGATCTTTCCGTGCAGTGTATCCACCACAAAGGGCTGGCAGTTCTGCAGCTCTGAGAACCCAGTAGTTGAATAGCGAGTGTGACAAATACCCAGGTTACCAGAGCGCAGTTTCAGAAGAGCCTCTGGAGGGCAAGCAGTGCTCACTAATCCCATTCCCTAGAAAAAGAAAAACACGAGGAATTGGAGAGATGTTTTCAGTGACACAACTAACAATAAAAGGTTAAAAAAGTGTTGTGCAGCCATAATGTTGTAGAGTGGAAAACCAGGTCACAATCTGATGGACAAACCAGCACAGCCATAAACAACCAAGGAGGTGAAAATCTGGTTGTATTGCCAAGTAGGTTAACACAAACAAGAAATTGGCTTTGGTGTATAATGGTGCTCACATAAAACACAGCAAGATACATTTAATTGTATAATAAGATAAATTCTTGTCATTTTGTGTATATGTTTGTGACAATTTATATTTACATAGCAACTTGTGAAAGAAAAATGAAAAATAGATTAAATGTTTCCTGCTTTTTTTTAAATAATGAGAGTTGAACTCACACTGTGCTGGTTTGTTTATAAGCTTCTGATCATAACCAATGTTACCTTGTGGGTCGTGTATGTAGGCGGACTGGCTCCATTACTCACGACAAACCCGGCACTTTCCTGACCCCTGAGAAGACACAAACAATCACATGTACAATTTAAAAAACAGTGTAAATATATCAGTAGAAAGTCAGTTTTACAATTAATTATCCCTCAATGTATTTTTGCAAGTCAAAACATGAATAAACATGTTCAATTATCAACCTAAATATGAGCCTTGAGGCAAACCAAACTGGTTTTTATAAGCAAAATAATGCAGGAGTGAGTAACAGACAAAAACAGAAACGTCTGCTTCTCCACTGTGGAGATGCCATATAGGGAGAGCCGCCTTGCTGCAGATTCAGCCTGTATACCAAGCTGCTTCTCGGATTACAGTTGGTCCCGCCCCCTCGGCACACAGCTTAAGCCAGTGGTGATGCAGCTTTTCAGCATGGAGGCGTTGCTTTCAGGCTTAACCGCCTGGTTGCCTGGGGAACCGGGCAGCAGAGACAGACGGATTGGGGAAAAGAAAGCGTTTCCAGGTCAGCTCAAACATGGAGAGAGGAGCAGAGAGACAAAGAGGAGGTGATAGGGAGGTGGCAGAGGAAAAAGGCTCGGTGGAGAGGCAGTGGGGGGAGGCAGAGGTGCTGGCTCTCATGACAGTGTGGGACGAGGTGGGAGCTCAGCACGTAGCAGAGAGCAGAGCCACATTTGAGCTGATTTCAGAGCGTCTGAGGAGGCTCAGTGTTGTGCGCAGTTGGTGGGAGTGTCAGGCCAAGTGCAGGAGCCTGGGACTCCAGAGCAGGAAGCCAGACGCAGCAGCAGGCACCTCAGCAAACTACAACCCAGGAGTGGATGCAAGGCCAGAGGACAGCTGGGAGGAAGAGGAGGAAGATGTGGGTAATCAAAGAGGAATCTACCATCCCTCAGTCACTATCCCAATACAGGAAGGTAAATGTAGGATCAACCCCAACTGAAGCGCAGATGATCATGACTTCAACATTTTAGTATTTTAAATCAACTGATCGATAAAACAAGCATGTCAGTCAAACTGTTGCCTGCTCTAAACATTTGAAACACAATCTAAAATTAGGTTAAAAGTAAAAAAAAGAATTGTGTTAAAAAAAAAGATAACAGTTTGTGAATTTGTGTACAGGTATCAAGAGTCTAATCCAACAGACTCCTTACACTGCGAGTGTGGCTGAAGAGAGCGGGCGCCACTGGACGGACGATGAGGTGCGAGCGCTGCTTTGCGTCTGGGCTGACCGGCACATTCGGGAGCGCTTGAAGTGCACGCTGCGCAACAAATCCATCTTCCAGGAGATGGCCCGTCAGATGCAGAGAAACTTTGGGGTGGTACGCAACTGGAAACAATGTCGAACTAAATACAAGAACTTGAAATATGATTACAAGACGGCCAAAAGCGCTCACGCTGTTGGAGGCAGCGGCGCAGGAGGCCCGGGGAAATACATGAAGTTCTTTGATGAGGTGGAGGCAATTCTACTGGACCGGGGGCTGGAAAACGGGACCGTGGAGATGCAGAAGAGGTTGTATGAGGGAGAAATTGGAGCAGACAGGCAACAGACATCGGCCTCAGAAAGTGAAGTTGTGATTGAAATTGACGATGGTGTGTATTCAGTCTGCAGTGTAATTAGGGCTGCTCGATTATGGCAAGAATCATAATCTCGATTATTTGGGTCAATAATTGATATCGCGATTATTAAAAACGATTATCCATTTAATTTTTTTGAACAGCATGTTTTTAACAGTTGATTACCCTGAACTTTAAGTATAATTCAACTGAAAAACCAATACAAATAATCGTTTTATTTCGATGATGTTGTTTTTCCATCGCCAAAATCGGAATCGCGATTAAAATATGATAAATTGAGCAACCCTAAGTGTAATTGGTCGTATTGTAATTAAAGCTAAAAGAACAATCAATTTATCAAATTCTTATTTTCAGATGAAAACAGTGATGATTATGATATTGATGGACACATGGAAGCAAGATGGAGAGGAACAGGTACAGTACGCCATGTGAATAACAAGAGCAGTTGAAAGTATATATATGTCATCTTTTCTTTCTTTAATCGTTTTCTATTCCCCCCCAGATGCCAATCTTGCACTCACGGATCCGTCCAGCTCTGAGCAGTTCCACGTGGTCACGGTGTCGGACACGGGCCGAAACTGGAGTGACCAGGAGGTGCGAGCGCTCATTCGAGTCTGGTCCGACGAGAGAGTGTGCAAACAGCTGGAGAGCTCGACTAGAAAGAGAGACATCTTTGTCCAGATCTCCAACAGGTTAATGCAGCAAGGCATTGAGCGGGACTGGAAGCAGTGCCACACCAAGTACAAAAACCTCAAGTACCTTTACCGCTCCCTTCAGAGGGGGAAGGGTGAAGAAGCTGACCCTAGGCGCCTTATGAGGTTCTACGATGAGGTGAATGCCATTATGAATCGCACAAGTGATGGCTCACCGCAGGAGAACACAGGAACTGCGGACCACCAGGCAGAATCAGACAGACTCACGATGTTGGGGGTCCGTGAGGAGAACAATCATGTAGATGTGCATTTGAGAAAGATGAACGCAGTGACCACAATGGCAGGAGGAACTGAGGACCAAGCATGTGGTTCTGATACGGTCTCATCTATGTGCTTCGATGTGACGCCGAACCACGAAGAACTGAGGCTGCATGCACTCCAGGAGCTACGCTTTGATCAACAGCAGAGATTAATGAGTGAGTCCAATATCATTCATTGATTAAGACTTGGTGTCCAGATGTTTGATGTAAACATTTCACATATAGCTGTCTGCTATCAATTACCACGAACACATCATTAAACCTACAGAAGCAGAGATAGCAGCCAAAAACATTTAAGCTTTGTTTTGATTTAACATATCTTATGTATGATCTCCCAATCTTCAACCAATAAGTGGCATTTTTAAAAGGGTTGGATTACTCGAATTTCTTATAAACATTTCTGCTCAGACCAAGTGTTAACTAGATTTATTTTCACCTACGGGCACGGCCTTGGCAATCGTTTATATTGCATGTACAAGATGAGGAAAATAAATCTCAGCAATGCCTAACCAACACAACTGTCTGCATGGCTATTTATCTTATATCTAAAATCATTTAAATCCATTGAAAATAGACAACAAAAAAGAGTTTGTTTTGCTAGTAAAGAATGTATGGTAACTGAGAATGTATTTTGTTTGCAGGCTCTTGTGTAACGCGTGTAAAGACAGAAGTTATCTATTCAGCAAACAGAAGGATGAAGAGGAAAGCTGTGGATCAAGGTTTGAAATGTGGCTCCCTCTTTAAGTCACTATGTATGTCGCATGATGTCCACAACTGACAGAAGTCTTTGTATTTCTGATTGGGTCACTTGATTTGCCGTGGAGCCACGTAATTACATTTTAGATAAGGGTACTTTTGTAACTACTGACAGGACGCACAACTCATGATGGCAGTCAGACCAAAAGAAACTGAAACATTGCTCGTCCATGAGAATGTTAAATATTGTATAAGCAAAACTTAAAAAAAATAAATAAATAACAGCATCCATGTAATTCAAGGATAACAATCTGATTTTATTTGTTTCTTTTTCAGACTTCACACTCCAGACACCAGTCAAAAAACGGGTCACTGGCTGTGATAACATGGAGGCTGGATGTAAAGAAGAGCAGGATCACATCCCGATAATGAAGATCAATTCAGTCTGTTCAATAGCCTCACCTAATCCATCCCCACAGAGAGAGGTAACACCTACTCACACATGTGATACAGTACAAAAAACATGTTGCAACCAAGGTAAACTAAAGACATTATTCTTTAACAGACTGTAGGAGTTTAAAGACACAATGCTGCTGAGCTGTGAGAAAATCTGATTATACAGTTTAATTCTGTTTTATAAAAGAGATTGTATGTCATCTTATAAAAGATGCAAACCTCTTGTCAATTAATCAATTATTAAGAAATTATGTTAAGAACTAATTTTGACATGATGCCAAGCATATCAAATTTGATAATGTGTTGCTTTTCTGTAATTTGAGTAACTAAATAGCTGTTTTGGACTTTTTTTTGTGGAATTTAAAAAACGCTTTGAAGATATCTTTATGGGCTGGTTTTTCTTACTCTGGAATTTGTATAGACAATACATTCAACAGCAGATCATTTAATAGGTTATTTGCACATCTCTACATCCTATAGTACTTTAGTGATTCTGCTACCAAATATTTAGTTTGTGATTAACTTTATGTAGCCACTTATAGTAGATATGTTACTGATCACGTTGGCTAAGTTTACTGAAGAAATGTTGACTTTTCAGTGTGGTATTGAAAAAAGCCTACTTTAACTTCGATAGATCGATAGATAGATAGATAGACATACATAGTATGTGAATACACATACTATACAGAGATTCTGTATGAGAAACCAATGTGAATTTGGAACATTGAACAATGTAAATATATTCTAGTATACCTCAACAATGGAATTATGATCAGTAGAAATGGCCATGACATGGGACCTTTAAGTTGTTTATTTAGTTTGCTGTAACTTATAAGCTTCTTATTTTGTTTTTAACTTTATAAGGAGTCAAAAAACATCTTCCACCCCTGTTTAACTTTAACTTCAAGCTGTTTTCTCTTCAGCTTGACTAACATAAGCGGTTTTTAGCTCTTATAATTAAATAATTTAGGACTTAATAACTAGAAAGTGGTTTTGCATTATTTTCACATTACACAAACCTTTCTGTGGCTTACCTGTGCTGTAGCGCCACCAGTCCCAGAGTTAGGACCTGAGCCACCTCCAGCTGCGTGGGCCACTCTCCGGCCGCCACACAGCCGAAAACCCCGCACTCCTCCCCGATACCGTTCTCCTCAAACTCCATCAGGCCTTCGTGAGTCTCGGTCCTCCGGTAACCGGGTGGTTAACAAGTCTCCTGCGTTCCTACACTAGTTCTGATAGCATTGAACGAACACGTGTACCGTTGTTTGTTAAAGCCACATGAACTCAGCTGACATTGTTGAAGCGGAATCACGAGTTGTGAACACAAACTTTGTGACAAGTAAATCACTTAGTGCAGTTTTAGTTTAGCAGAAACATGCAACAGTAGCTGATATAAGATACATCGATCACGCGATCTATCAAACACACGCGGAAACACGTGGTGTGCCACAAACTCATCTAAATGATCAATTCTGTCGAGCGGTGGGTTGTTCTCTCTTGATAACGTTCTCTGATCAAAATCAATCTGTTTGTCAAAGAGAAAATGGGGACACTTTAGTGGATAAACTCCAAAAAAATTCTACTTGCAAATATTTGGGCTTTTAGCATTTCCCCCCCACGTGTTGAGCATCGCCCTGCTGTGATTGGTTGTCTTGATAAGCAAAGGGATGTGATTGGTTATCAGATCACGTACTTCCCTTCTTCTTCTGCCTGCACTCCTCTTGCTGCCTCTTCATCTTGAAACTTTTACAAGTGTAGTGTCAGTTTTCATTTTGTGTTTGCAGGACTGTCGGTTGTTGAAGAACACCACCATGGCCTCCGCATCAGGTACAGTGCTACATTAAAATGGATATTTAGGAGATTTAGGAGTTAAAATGCGCAGTGATCTAATTTGGGCATGTTTTTTTCTGTTGTTTGTGTGTTTTACAGAGTTGAAGATTGGTAAAAAGCTACATGAGGGAAAGACGAAGCAGATTTTTGAACTTGAGGGTGAATCCGGAGTGGTTCTGGTTCAGTCCAAAGACCAGATCACAGCGGGGAATGCCGTGAGGAAAGACCAGATGGAAGGAAAGGCTGCCATTGCCAACAAAACAACGAGCTCCGTGTTCAAGCTGCTGCAGGATTCTGGTGAGGACACGTTTATTGGATTTGACAGATCCATTCAAAAAGTACTCTGCTGCTGCCAGGTGAAGATTGCAGCAGTTACAAGTGTCATAACGTTATTCACCCTGAGGCCATTTTCCCACGTTGAGAAATATTCTTTAGATTTGTGAGTGTGTGAGGGCATACTTGCTCTATGATTCATTAATATATTCTCTTTGGTTAGTTCTCCCGCACATATTTCCTTATCAAATTCAAATGTTTTGAGTTTTCTGAAATAAAAATGATCCCCTCCCCCTAACAACAAACACTGATCTCGTGTCACAACTAACAACGTTGATGTGTGTGGGGCTTGTTTGACATTTGGTCAACAACAAAAAAAAGAAACCCAGATCTCCAAAATGACCCACACCTTTGCTTTAATTTAGCACTAATTGGGTAAGTGTTCCCGACATGCCACTCGTGAGTGTGGTAAAGGTTGTCTTGTGACTCGGATAATTCACCAGAACGTGACCAACCACATTTAATATTTAATTAGGGACATCACACAAACTCAAACTGGTGTTTCATCTTTTTTCTTTTATAAATTAACCCTAAATGATAACATTTTGACTTGGCTTTCTTCACAGCTCTTGATACTGGAGGTCTGGCTGTGTAAATGTATGTAGCTGATTTTAATATCTACTCTTTCTTCCAGGCATTAAAACTGCCTTTGTAAGGAACCACTCAGACACAGCGTTCATTGCCACCCACTGTGAGATGATTCCTATTGAGTGGGTATGTCGCAGAGTGGCAACTGGATCCTTCCTCAAGAGAAACCCAGGAGTAAAGGAAGGCTACCGCTTCTCCCCCCTGAAGATGGAGATGTTCTTCAAAGTGAGTCTGCCTTCAATGCGGTTCTGTATGTGCTGTGGCTTGACTAATTGTTTCCACATGTCAAAACTCATCCATTTTAAGTAATATGTTGCTCTCTGCCACAGGATGATGCCGCCAATGACCCTCAGTGGTCAGAGGAGCAGCTGCTGGAGTCAAAATTCTCTCTGGCTGGGCTCAATATCGGTCAGTGTGAGGTGGACATCATGAATCGCAGCACTGTGGCCATCTTTGAGATTCTGGAGAGGTCCTGGGCCACTCAGAATTGCACACTGGTGGATATGAAGGTATGCAGTGCAGCGCTGCCCTCTGCTGGTTATTCGGATTTCCTGTTGTGAACTCAGACTACTGAAATCTTTTTAAATGCTTCACAATCGGGGTTTATCATTTTTGTTTATTAGATCGAGTTTGGAGTGAATGTCAAGACTCAGGAGATTGTCCTCGCTGATGTGATCGACAATGATTCATGGAGGCTGTGGCCGGCTGGAGATCGGAGCCAGCAGAAGGATAAGCAGGTCAGGCCTTCTCTTTGGTATATCTATTTAATTTTGACACCTTTATGACTTTATATAAAGGCTAAAAGTGAGTTGTTTTCCCATATTACTAGGTGTACCGAGACCTGAAAGAAGTTACCCCTGAGGCGATGCAGATGGTGAAGAGAAACTTTGAGTGGGTCTCCGAAAGGGTCAAGGTACACTTAACATCCAACCTACTGAGATATCATGACAGTCTGTTTGTTTACTTTTAGTTAACCTAGTATAACATATCCAAACAAAGTTGATTATATTCAGGGCTAGACTGGGAAAATAAGTCTGGCCAGGGATTATACAGCCAGCCAGGCCAATACCAGTTTTGTTGGGCCTTTTGCTGGTTGAACCGTCAATACTTACATTTGCTGCCCATAGTGCAGTATCAATCTTACTCAATAACATGGCCTTGTATGGAGCTAATGGTTGCTGTGCTGTGTCTCTAGCTGCTGCTGGAGCCCCTGGCCGGAGGCAGGGTGGTAGTTCTGATGGGCTCCACCTCCGACCTGGCTCACTGTGAAAAAATCAAGAAGGCCTGTAGCTCCTTAGGGATCCCCTGCATCCTGAGAGTCACCTCGGCACACAAAGGTCCGGATGAGACACTCCGCATCAAAGCTGAATATGAAGGTCTGTATTATTTTATGTATCTTTTAGAAAAAGTGGGTATTTAGTTGCCTGTCATGTCATAATATCTGTATGCTTGTCCTCAGGTGATGGCGTACCCACCGTGTTTGTGGCTGTGGCCGGCAGGAGTAACGGCCTCGGCCCGGTGATGTCTGGAAACACTGCGTACCCGGTCATCAACTGCCCTCCTCTCACTCCAGACTGGGGTGCACAAGATGTCTGGTCATCCCTGCGTATGCCAAGTGGTGAGTATGGCACTTCCTGTCTTGAATTGTTTGTCCACATGTTAGTTTTTTCATTGTAATAACCAGGCCCCTCCTCCTTCAGGTCTCGGCTGCTCGACCATCCTCTCCCCTGAGGCCGCTGCTCAGTTTGCCGCGCAGATTTTCGGGTTGACCAATCATCTGGTGTGGTGCAAGCTGAGGGCCTCCATGCTCAACACCTGGGTGTCTCTCAAGCTGGCTGACAAGAAGTTACAGGCCTGCAGCCTCTGAAAGGCTCCTTTCACCCTTGTGTTGTCTTCTTAGGCTCCATGTTCTGTCACTGATGTGTCTTTGTTTACCATGAGAAGCCACTTACAGTAGATGAAGTCTCCCTATGATTTCTCAAACAAATAAATCATTCCATTAAAGAAAGCTTCTTAATTAAAAGCTTGTGTTGTTATTTTATCCCGTTCAGACCCTCGCAAATCTGCCAAGAAAAAGCTAAATATCTCCACAGTAACTTTTGAAAATTATTTGGAAAAAGCAATAGTTGAAAATTGTTCAATATTCACTTAGAAGTGTTTTTTTTTTGGGCAAATCCATTAGCCTGTGGGGGTGGATCAGAGTGGAGGAGTTTGAACTTCAGTATTTATAAAAATCTTGGCTTTGACCCTGATTGTGATTTGTGCCCAAGTATGTTTGTCTTGCCAGTTGTCAAATTATGATTTCATCTTTTTGAATAAGATGTTAAGTTGATGGCATGGTAACTTGAAGGTTGAGTTTTTTTGTTGCTGTCATGAGATGCCGGGATCAAGTTCAAATCAGCAAATAGTTGTTAAAGGTTTGAAATGATACCTCTAAAAGCGGTTCAGTTGTATATCATAAGCATTGCATATGGGTTGATGCACCCATTTTTAAAGCTTAAATGTCATTCATATGGTCTTATTTCATTTGCATGTTTGACATGCATAGTTGTGTTGCATGCTCTACTATCAACAGCATTGTTTCAGAAATGCAGATGACAACCAGATCTCCTTTCAATTATGTCAAAGCCCTGACAACACCCACATATACAATCTGAACATATGGTTAGTCATATTGATACCTTGCATGACAGGTTGTTATGACCCCCTCCACTCCACTTTGTGTCTTTGTGTTCTGCTGGCTGGCTCTTTGTGTTTCAGGTGATCAACCTGATGAGCCACACATCTACATAAAAGGCCAACACCAACCCATACTGCCCTCTCACTCTTCTGTTGGACACGGCCGCGTCTTTGTTTCTGCACATTTTCACACACCCATACACGCAATCATTACTGATAACTGACTTCCACGTTTAGGTTTCTTTGAAGACCTTTGGTCTTGGTTATAGTAAATAAATATGCTTTTTGTTACACTTAACTTGTCTGGTCTCCCATCTTTGTTGCAGCCTATGAGCCAGGCCGTAACACAGGTGCATAACCTATGTGTGAGTGGCTCTGCTAATGTCGTATAAACTAGAATAGAAAGCTGCAACTCAACTCAACTTCTACATTTCCCCCTTTCTAATTCTCATTTCAACCACTTCCATGTATCTGTCGTCTGCTCAGTTGTGGGACCTCAACTTGGCCACAAGAGGGAGCCTGTGTCCCATGTGGACGATGCCAAATCTTAACCTTTCAATCTGTTCCAGCAGTTTGCAGCCAAGGGAATGAGTCAGAATATCATGCCACCATTTTATTTTGTATTTCTATTATAGCACAGCTCTCCCTTTTCATAACAAATTATGGCTTTAACGACCTATGGTGTGCTAAGTCTTTGTTCACATGTGGGTGTAAGTGGGAGGATGGAAGTGCTGAGGGTAGAGTGAGATACAGATGAGTGTAGTCAAGCTGATATCTGACAAAAATCCTCTGCATTTTAATTTGGAGTTGAATTTTGTGTTTAAAAATAAAATTGTACTGCATGGGAATCAGCCTTCCTATCCGTAAATCTATATGCAGCACAAGGATTAGAGGTATGGAAAAAGAACTGAAATGGACATAATATGTATGTCTCAGTGATTCAATGTCTCCTTGACAACCGTAACATGGCAACAATCACTATACAATAATCTGTTTTCTCTCCTTTGCTGCTTCTCTTATTGCCACACTGAGCTCTGTAAGTCTGCAATAAATGTCTTTAATTCCCTTTCTCTCTCCTCGCTGGCATTTGATTATTTTACTGCTTACCATCCCCATGGAGACTACAATAGCTCGGTGTCAAGAAACACAACATGACTCATCAGAAAAGTCTCACCCACTAATGAGTTCTGAATGTGTGTGGTCATGATTCTAACCTGGGCTTAAGCAGTTGTTAAATGAGATAAATGCTTCATTGTCATAATAATGTGAACTTTGTAATAACGGAACCCATGCAGCGACTTTCTCAAGACTCAAAAAATCCATTTATTTAGCTCTCAAAGCTATCAGGGTGGCATTACAGTAAGTATCACTACTTTAGTTTATTTACATGTGTTCTGCCACAGTATGTTATCTTCTTCTGTATGCTGCTTAGTCTTGAGTACAAAATGTGTTTATCGTTCTATGGCTAAACATCATCACTAACATTATTATTTTCTCCCTCTGTTCCTCTGGATGTACATGATCTTCACTCATAACATTGTCCTGCCATCCCTCGGGCACTTTCACACATCCTCTGTTTTTTCACTTTCAGCTACCTCTGTAACTACTCTAACAATTTGGCTCCATGCGGCGCCGCCCAATCACAGCGCTCCCAGGTCGTGGCACGAGCGGGACTTCTGTCTCAGGAACTTTCCCACGTCTCTCTCTCGCGGGTACCGGGGCACCAGGCTGGACAGGAAACGTTTGGCACGGGAGGTTATGCTCTCACGCTGGCCTTCGCCGATCATGTCCTCCGCAGTGGTCCCGGGGGGCCACGGGGACTGGCCCCTGGCGAGCCTTACCGCACACTCCAGGAGCTCTGGGGTACGGTGGTCCAGAGAGGCAGAGATCTCCAGATACAGACAGTTGAAGAGGGCGGCGCTGGACATGGCCTCTGAGGTAAGAGAAGGGAAGGAGACGGGAGAAGAGGATGAAGTTTCACAAAGCTAAGCTGTATATTTAAGGTGACAGCTGACTGCAGCCATGTTGACCCAATATATTTTGTTAGCGTGATTTATACCAAAACACAAAGTGATACCTCTTCTTCACCACCATAAAACAAACTCCAACACTAAAACAAGCCAACAAGGGGTAAAAAAACATCTAGTATATTTACTACTAAACTAGTAGGCTACTAGATGTTTTTCACCTAAATGATTTAATAGCGCTCTGTAGTCATAACCAACAAAATGTCATTTGAAAAAAACAAAACATATAAGAGTGCCTTATACATAATTTAAAATGTTGCTACATCTTTTATAGACTTGTTGAAAGCGGAGACTTTGACAGCAAACAAGGGGGAAGACAGTTTACTGTAAACAGTGTTAAAGGCCATGAAAATATATTTTCTTAATCAACTTTTTGCAATAGTTTGTCCCCACAAAAAAACACACTATTATCTGCCTAAATTGCAAAACATCAGCATCGTTAACATGAGATTTCTGTAATTCTGTTCTGAAATCTTCGCCCTGTCCACTTAGATCCTCACTTAATGTGGACAGGGCTCAGTTGGGAAAATGTGATACGAATATGAATTTAAACATTTGAATCAGAATGGCATGGACAGTTGTAGTTGCCGCCTGTTCCGAGATGTTTTCTCCATCACTAAAACCTTTCAACATCCTGAACCTTACTCAATATAGAAATGTGTGACTCTGCAAAATGATAGGATATCAGCCTGCTGTCGGTGGCACACAAACAGAATATTAACTCTGTGATCGGATGATAGTGGCTGAAATGGACCTCGGGAATCTCATTAAAAACGTTTACCTTTGAGGTGGATACTATGGGTGCCTGATAAAGCTGCTCCCAGAACAGCAACGGATGTTTAACTTTGATTGTTGCTTAATTAGTAAGTCATTTTCAATAATGAAGGTAAATACTGAAGGGTTGAAGCCAAGTTTTCAGGGGCTTTAATTTGGGAGGTAATTTGACATAGCTGCACAGCAGTCCACTGTAAAACAGCATGAATGTGAAGATGCAGTGCACTCACAGTGAATGCTCTCCAGCCTGAACTGAAATTGCAACCCTCTCCACACTCCCACACTGCGATAAAGCTGATACGCTGACATTTACATTCTCACATATTCCACCCTATGCTAGTGTTTACAGATAAATATAAAGAGCCGAAAATGTCAACACCAACTGTGAGAATGAAAGCCACTACAGAAGAAACACCACGATGCAGGTGAGGAAAAGGGCAATACGTTTAATAAGAAAATATGAATGGTTCCACATACCTTGAGAGGGGACCTCACGTGTGCGAACGAGGTCACTTTTATTACCCACGAGGATGATGGGAGTTTGGGGCTGGGTCTCTCTCAGGAGAAGTCGGAGTTGAGCAGTGCGGTGGAAACTACGCCTGTCAGTCACTGAAAACACCAGGACACACACCTCACACTGCAGAGCCGACAGGTCCTGAGGGACAGAGGCAGACACATTAACTCACAATACTGTAGTCACTATTCAGTGTATCTCAATAATTGATCATTGTACTTGAGAAATCCACTCAAATTGAGTGAGCAAATACTGAAACACATTGTAAAGCAGTCAAATATGATCACACACACGACTGCCAGCAGGAATCATGTTTTATTTCAAATAGTAAAACACTCTTGTATTACACTAATTGTATTATTGTAAAAACTGTATTTGCAGAATTACAGTGGTAGTGCTGCAGACAGCTGAGTGCTCTATCTAAAATCCCCTGTGGTTTAGTGAGAACTTCAAGCAGCAGCAACTGCAGAACAACTCAAATTCTTACTGACACACACAGTCATCCTCTCCAAACAAGAGAGAGAGTAACATCCCTAAAAATACAAATCCATGCGTGAATCCTTCATTCTGTAGACACCTGATTGGACCTCAGCTTGACTTTTGTTGGAACTGCCATGGTCCATTGACTTTCCATTTATTTTTTTATTAAGTCCAGAATTGAGCACAGACCAAAAGCCCCTTTGGCACGAATGAAAGGACACAGCTTAATATGACAATTATCTAAGAAGTCTCTTTATAAGGCACCCGTTACAGTGTCGCCCGCAACACATGGTGTATCACTCATTATACAGAGAGTCACACATAGAAATCCCCACATTATAAAGACAGATTGTGTCATGAGTAAGCAATCAGTTTGTATCACACATCAACCTAAATCATAACATGAATGCAGTAATTTAGCACATCTGCTCTGTGGGCAGCTCACACTCTCGCTCTCTCTCTCTTAAATCCACACACATATGCCTGGGAACTGCGCTCGAGAGAAAAGTGCAAATATACCTGATAATGAGTTTTCCTCTGTCAAGCAGATGCAGCAGATTTATTGTCCTATTTTTGCCACAGCGTTTCTCTGAGCTTGGCATCAATTTCTGTTATAGTGACGTCAAGTAAAATAAACAATGCAACGTGCTCCAGATATAGAGTGTGAAAACATCTGAAATTTACAGCACACACAGAAATCTGTTCATGTGCAGTACCATTTCGTATTTTCACGATGTTTGCATGTAGGGCTTTAACTAATGATCCGTTTTTATTATTGATTAATATGCTGATTACTTTCAAGATGTATTGATAATAATCTTTGTCTTTAAAATGTCATATATAATGCCGAATGTCCCTCATAGTTTCTCCAAATCAAAGGGGTTGTATTCTTTTTGTTAGTCGACTTGTCAGTTTTCTTATTTGGTTAGCTATCCTGGTTCTATTTTCCTATCTTATTTCCTGATAATACAGAGATGGCTTTCAATAAAGAAAATGTAATTAGACTGGAGGAAAATAGAGTTAAGAAAACAGATCAATAAGATTCATTTTAAGCTCCTTAAAACTGTCCAAGGATTTGGTTCTTCTACCCTTCTACAAGAACGGATGTTCAGTGTGTGTCTATATACAAACACTGACATATATACCACAGTGAAATGTCAAAAAGCAGCAAGCACATTGTATACAGATACATCTCAGTGTCCTAATGAGGGAGCAGGGAGTGCAGGGACAGGGAGTGTTGTTTGCCTCACCTGTCTCCAGTTGTCATAGATAATAATGGTGCTCTCCTCGTCATCCACAGTGACTGTGCGTACGTAACCCTCCCCTAGGGACAGGGACAGAGGCAGTTAGCTTTCACATGGGAGAGGAGTGCAGTGATTTATTTGCTTACTGTGAAAGCCCTCAAGCCCCCACTGCATTATACTGGCCCCTGCATTAGTCAAACACACAGCACACACCTTCACAGTCCACAGACGCAGTCCTGTCCATGTCTCCAGAGAGGGCCACGGACAGGGAGGACTTCCCCACGCCGTTCTGCCCCAGCAGGGCGATCCTTAAAGGCCCATCAGGTCTGCCCTCCACAGATACAGTCGGAGTGTCATCCAAGGCTAGGCTGAAGCTGATTGGTGAAGCAGACGGTCCAGCTGCACCTGATGTCCAATCGGCGTCATCGTGTACGGCTTCTTCTCTTCTCAGCTGATGCTTTATAGGCAGAGGAGTGCTGCCTCTGCGAACATTCGGGGCAATGGACAGAGTCATACTGTCACACTGGAGAAGAAAGGAACATGAAGGGGCACTCTTTATATTGCATAACATTTATAGCTAGTATGTATTCAGATATGGTGTTTCTTGTATAAGAGACAGCCAGCTCCCAAAGCACCAGTTTGCATGATGATGTGATACTCCATCTATTTAGTATTCAGCAACTCTATAAAGTCAGGGGACTTGCAGCAGAGGCGCTTGTATGGCTAAATCTCAATAGTATTTTCCAAAAGACTTTCCCTGCCTTTTAAACGCTTTCATCTGTCAAACTCCAGATCCCTGGTTGAGCCTATAAAACAGCTTCCTGTGCCTAAACCAAAATAACTCTGATGACATCATCAGGGTTTAATGACAATGCTCCTGCACAGACACTGAAGACATATTACAACTTGTTCTACAGGCCTAATAGTATTTCCCTTGACGAGTAAACTGACCGTGGTCTAATATGTCCCTTTCAACCTACACAGAATACTTGAGCCATGTCAGCGAGAGAGCGTGTATTATCATAGAGCCCTGGAACTGCTCACCTAAATTGAATGCAGCCATCATTAATATTCACCTGTGTTCCACTGCTTTGGCAACTAATAGATGCCTGCTTTAAAAATTTAATATATTATTATTATATGTCTATTTTACAGAGAGCGACGGTTGCATTTTGGAGTCATGTTATCGTCCACCAAATGTAATGTATTCTATCTCCACTCTGCTGTTAGGTCAAAAAGCAAAACCCCAATAATTTGTAAAACAATGATATGATTTCTTCCTCTTTAAAGCTGCATACAGCTGATGGAAACTACAGTTAGGTGTGGGTTAAAACTAAGATCTAACATCTTTCATATAACACAAAATCTTAAAATCCATTCTATTAAAAAAGAATATCACTCAAGCCTTTGTTTCTCCAATCAGCCAAGTGCCTACATCGAGAAACTGAATTAAATGCAGGACACCACCTTTCTCATGTCAGATGTGCCTGCTTTACTTTCTTTTGTATGAGAAAATGTGACACTGCTTTAATGAGGTAACATCTTTCATACATTTGTCCCCAAAATGATGACTTAAAGCTAACATCCATCACAGAAGTGTCTGATTCTTTGCATAGTTTGACATACTTTCTGTGTATCTTTGTAGTTCTTTGGTTGCCATGCTGATGCGCGCACACACACACACACACACACACACACACACACACACACACACACACACACACACACACACACACACACACACAATACTGTAGGTATAAGAAAACCTACCGCTCAGCCGTATGTTATAAAAACCATTTAGCACAGTGTGACCTGATAACCACACACACACACACACACACACACAAACTTCATCAGCACCTGAACAACCCCCTCCATTAATTGACAATCAGAATATCAGACTCCATCACATCCTAACACTTTTCACCCAATCGGATTTGCTGATTAGGCCTACTGAATATATTGGAAGTGTTGTTTGTACGCAGCCCCGGGCTGGCATCTCCTTACCTTGGCCGTCGTCTCCCCGAGGTTGAGCCTGTCTTCGGGGCCGGGCACATCTGTCGGCATCTGCAAACTGAAATCAAGCGACCGGGAATAAGGACTCCAAAACCCGCAGGACAACCAACTCCTCGCGCCCCCTCTCACTTTATGAACCCCAGCGCGGGCAGCACGGTATGATCTCTCACCTGTCACGCGGCTCTCTACAAAGAAAGCACGCTCTCTTTCTCTTTCTTCCGTACTGCTCTCGCTCTACTTATCTCTCTCTCGCTCCCTCTCCTTCAGTTTGTATCTCTGTCTACCTCCCTCTGCTCTCTCTCTGTCTCTTCAGGTTAGGGCCCAGGTCCAGCTCTGCAAACACCAACCCTCATTCATCACCGCTCTCTCCAAAACTGACTATGACTCACTGAGACACGTTTAAATGCTCCTCCAGATTTCGATTGTATCTACAGGAGAGATTAAACCCCGTGGGGTGAGTATGAGTGTTTGCTTCAGGTACCTGCAGCTCAGTAGTAAAAGTGGGGCAGTGCTGCAGGAAGGCAGGCAGGAAGGGAGCACTCCTCTGGAGAGATGTTCAGTGTCACGAATCTCACATTGACCTCTTGAAGAAGGAGGCGATATGAAGGGAAATGGCCACTAGGGGGCAGCATTACCCAAGTCTTCTCCTAACTAATTGGGTGCGTGTGTGTGTGCGTGTGTGTGTGTGTGTGTGTGTGTGTGTGTGTGTGTGTGTGTGTGTGTGTGTGTGTGTGTGTGTGTGTGTGTGTGTGTGTGTGTGCTGTTTCATTTGGGTATTTCTTTGTTAAACAGAGGTATGTTAACCTACCTGGTCTATCATGTCTCTACTGTTAAAGACACACATGACCTCTTTCAGAGACTGGCTCATTTCCCATTTGACTAAATAAAGTAATTTCTAGTCCCTGACCCAAGAAGTGTATTTTGACATGTTTTCTGTCAAAATGTGAGTGTGGCCATGAGCTGTGGTGTGTCCCTCCCACACAAAGCCACAATAGACTCCGGCAGTGAGCAGCCAGGGCGCTATTATAGCCCTAATCCTGCTCCTATTATACAGGCCAGAGAGAGAGCGAGAGACACAGAGAGGGAGGTAGAGCTGAAGATGAGGTCATCCCAAACAGTGCACACCCAGGGTCACTGCCTCACTATAGAGGGACAGATAAAGAGAGGGATGGAGCCGGGTATGGGGGCTGCAGGGCGAGCTGCAGGGCGAGCTGGAGAGAAAAGGCCTGCAGAAGACTGACAGTGGGAGATGCTCAGATAGGTGAATAGAAAAGGAATGAGGTTAAAACATGTGTGGAAGCCGCACAAAAGCACGCCACACCATGACAGGGATGGTAAAGTACTTTGTTTATTTCTTATGCATATGAAACCACACTACAACAGGAGCAGGAAACCATGATAACGGCCATCATTTTTGTAGTAATCTTAATTCTAATCACAATTGGGTAAAATAGTAATCTGTGGGAAAGTAAAAATACACACTAATTGAATAAAACCTGTAAAGTAAATTAAGTAGAATCAGTACATAAATAAACAATAAATACTGAATAAATAAGTGAATAAATAAAAAGAACAATTTATTTACTCTACACCCAAACAAAATAAATAGCTCTAAATCATGAACCCTGGATTTTATGGGACAGATAAGAAGGTCTCCATGAAAACATTTTTTGCATTTTATTTTTCATTTCCCTGCACCGTTGATTTTCTCTTGCATCTGTAAACCACAGTACCCGAGTCCACAGTGACCAGCTCTGTGGTGCCGCATGTTGCTGTAATTGTGTGATTGTTCCTGTTACAGAGGTGTTCAATCTTTTTGAAAATAACTTCCCTAGTCTGGAGGACTGGACACAACCACACAAATCATGCCACACTCTTTTTGCCTGCTGCGGAGGGTTTCTTTCTCACTTCCATCATATGCAGTTGCTTTAGTTAAGCACACTACTAGCTCTTTGTATGTAAAAACACATGTTTGAGAGCAAACAGCAAGTCTTTCTTGTCACTGTTAATGGCTCAATGTCACCATTTCCAAGCAGCAAAAGTAGATTTATTTGCTAAAACACAAGAGCAATATCCCTACTATTCATTAAGCACAATCAGTGGAGGATTCCCATGACAGGTATCCTTGTACATTCTTTAATCTATGATTATTCATCTTTAAAATAAAAACAAGTCTTGGTGAGCTTATACACTTTGGTAGGCAACTGTGAAAAATTAGCTGGCAAACACAACTGCATGCCGTGGATACTTTATCCAAGCCCATACCACTCCACATCCAGCACCACTGCACTACTCAGACCTCTGCAGCTTTAGCAGCTTATTGTAAAAAAAACACAACTACAGTTTGAACCCCAACCACTCATTTTGAAAGTACATTGCAGCTATAATATTGCATAGATAATATTCTCAGCAGTATCAGGGACTATTGATACGTTTTAATTCAAGACAAACGCTTTTTCAATCCACTTCTCACAGTCGTGTTTGTCCACTGTTGTACTCTCAACCTGTTTTTGTGCAACTATCATTCACAGTGAAGTAAAAGCGTTGTCCATGAAGCAGCCTACAGCTGAGTCTAACACTATGAGTTAGCAGTCTTATTCCCCTTTAATCACTAAATAGTGGATTTCACAGTTGTATCGCTCCAAAACTGCCTGCCAATGTCTCTCTTTCACTTTCTCTCTCACACACTTACACACACTTACACACACACTTACACTTACACACACATACACATCCTTGTTTTCTTCCCCAAGTCTGATTACTCATCATTCATTGCTCCACGTTGGCTGGTTTCTCATTCCTCTGTTTATTCCTTCCTCTCCCCGTGGGTTTAGCTCAGAGGAAGTAGTCAGGGGGTGGGGAAGGTGGGTTGCTGCTGCGGGTCGGTGGGGCTTCAGCTGCGATGCTGTGGTTCGTGCTGAGGAGCTTCTCGTAGCGAGCTTTGTAGGCATCTCTCTCCCTCAGCACTCGATTCAGCTCACACTGTAGCTGATCCAACTGAGGAGGAGAAAAAAAAAGGCATTTGTGCTGTTGCTAAGCCAAAGTGCAAAGATGTTCCTTTAAATTGAATGCAAGAAAGAGTCAGGAGCAGTGGCGGTTCTAGAACATTTGAAAATGGGGGGCCAGGCGGACCAAATGCAATTTTAGAGGAATAACAATGTATAAGATTTTTTATTTTTTCTGGAACACTACAAGAACATTTTCTATTTTTAGCATATTATTTTTCCCTCAGGAGCTAAAAGTGGTGTAAAAAATGTCCGATGTCCACTGTCGGGGGCGTCAGAGAGGGCCACGATCACTATTGTTCAGCCATGAAGGGAATTTAGAATTGTCTAAACTTCCAGATTAAAGATGAGATCAGATTAGGATTTAAATTTGTGGTCGGATATAGCTTGGATAAAAATAAAGCTGGTCAGTCATGAACAGGCATGTACCTGTTGTGTGAGCACATGTTTCTCCGACTCCAGAGCGTGGCGGTGCTGTAGGCGCTTGTATCGGCAGGACTGGGCATAGCCCCGGTTCTTCAGAGTGCGACGTTTCTGTTTCAAGCGCACCACTTCATCCTTACTCACTCCTCGCAGGTGTCGGTTCAGCTCCCGCACTGACAGGCTCACCAGCTGCTCATCAGAGAAGCGATCATTGGCCCCACACTGCCGAGCAGATGGTGAAAACAAACATTCAGAATATGCTGTGCTATGATGTTAATTGGAAACAAGACAAATTATGAAAATGATTGATGAGTTAAATGAGTGTGGAATAGTTCAACCATAACTGATTGTGAGATGACTGGTAGACATGTGATGTGTTATACTGGGTGTGTGTTTGTCTGTCAGGGGGCACATTTCAGCACCACATGTCCATAATCTGTCATTTAATCTGACTAAGTGTGGTTGACAGTTATGAGGATTACACACAGCAATAATAGCAGATATTATCATAAGCTAACACCGTGCTCCACATAGAGATACACCCAGACATCTTTATCCACCGGAAAGCAGATTACAGAGTTGATTTACCAAGTAAAATTAGATTCAGCATTGAAGAGGCTACAGTAGCAGCAATTGATTTGTCCTCCAATCACATTTAGCCCCTTAAAGAGTTAATTATTCATTTATAGGTTTATTAACAACTGGCTAGTGTTCATTTTAGAGATTACTTATTGAAATTAGCTTTGGAGGAACTCCCCCTAGAAACATGCAACACATAGCTTAAAACAACCTATTTGCAAGCAGATATTGTGTTTATTAATATATTCGTGAACAACCACAACCCGTACTTTGGAAAGCTAAAAGCTGGTGTATGACCAGATATTGAATTATTACAATACTATATAAAATGTAATTATAGAAAAAAGTTATAATTGCTTACAAATACTATAAATGTTGAAGAATTGTGTTTAAATGTAAGTGTATGTTTCACTGTAAATCAAAACCTTGCACTGTCAAAAACGAAATTCTTGCTTCACTTATTGTTGCCATGCAGAGAGTGATCCTCAAAGTGAGGCTCCAGATAGACACAGACATTAATAACAATGTTCTAATTTCCTAATCCTAATCCTTCACTGAACGATCCCTCTCCCTCCGCCCAGCCCTCTAATGCCACAAGTGTCACTGTTCAATTCTTTCACCTCCAAAACATCTCCCTCGTTAATCCATGAAATCATCCCGTCGAGCACAATCGTCATTATCAAGCTATTGCGGATTGATCCGTGTGTACCTGACTCATTGAGTGGTGATGATGGTGATGGCTGCCATGTATGGAGTGGTGCGAGTGGTGCTGATGATGGTGATGCTGGTGGTGATGAAGGCGGGCCTGGGGGCTGAGGGGTTGTGGGTATGGAGCTGAGTTAGGGGCGTCGTTGGGGAGTGAGTTAGGGGCTGATGAGAGGAAGACGAGCGGGCGATGGCACATGTCTGTCCCTTTGGGGCAGGAGATGTCTGCTCCACTGTCGCTGCTGGAGTCCCCCAGGTTGCTGCTGGAACTCTGAGAAAGACTTGGAAACTGAAGAGAGGGGGGACAATATGGAAGAAGATGTAAGTCAACTCCTTCATCAATTGGAGAACATTTAACATAAAGAAATTATAAATTGTTACCTGCGAGCTGACAGCTGCAGCAGCTGAGTTCAGCAAAGCCTCCACAGCGTCCTCACATCCCAGGAAGCCATTGACCGGCCCCCTCTCTCTCTCCCCCCGCTCTGGCACTCCCCCCAAGGCCCCCATCAAATTCGAGGGCCCCGTCACATCACCTCCAAACTGTTGCTGCAGCGCTGCCAGCCAGATCAGGTCCTCCAGCGAGGCCGGGGTGGGACCCTGAGGCCCCCCGTGGGACGGGCTTCCCTCCACGTTCCCCTGAGAGCCGGAGCTGATGCCTGACGTGAAGCTGTTAGAGAGGGAGAGGGGGAAGGAGATGGAGGAGGATGACGATGAGAGGGAGGAAGAGCCAGAAGGTGGTGGGTGGGCGTCACTGAGCGAT